GCTTTACTCTGTGAAGAAAAATGGAGTCTTTCAGGCACAATGGATGTTAAAATTTTAATCTCAACATTTGCCGAGGGGAATTGAACCCCTGATTTTAGCATTGTAAATCTGAAGCCTTACCACTGTCCCACCATGGGATCTTTTTTTTTACATCAGACCATTAGGGCATATTGCAGCTCTAGAAATGTTTTGGTTTTCTTTAAAGTGTTGCTGACCCCTAGTCTATTCCAAACAATTTTGCAATACAAGTACAAAACTGGTCTGCTTATCGCCCTTACCATTGATACTGGAAATCACATTGATTTTATTTTTAAGAATTATTCTATGTCTGAAATTTCACAAAGACAAGAAAAAATATGCAAAATATCAGTTTGGCACATTTTTTGCAACCTTAAATTTTGGGACATATGTATCTTTTCACATAATTAGTATTCATAACTTACTACTTAACTAAATCCTATACAATATGACTTTATCATCTATATGCACCTGATCTTTTGATTATTCCGTTCTTCTTTTTTGTATCATGATTCAGAAAAATTATGAATTCCAATAAGTGTCTAAGCTAAGTGACTCAAACCATGCACATTGGTCAAGCTGTAATTAATTAATGAAGTGAATGGTGAGTATTTGGCCAGATTGAAAAAGATTAAACTTGCTTAGATAAATGACAATCTATATGTATAAAATCCACTATCTGTTGGGAACACTCAAATTGCCTCAGTGGTAAAAGTGCCCAAACTTCAAGCAGAAGTCTCGCATTAAAATACCAGTACAGCCAGGATTTATTATACGTATATATATATATATATATATTAATTTTTTTAAAGTGATCATGTTTAGAGCAAGCTCTTTCAACATCCAGAAAAACATGGATACCACGATATTTGAGGTTAATATTTGTTAACACTGGGTGTTGAAGTTACTCAGTGCTTGACTCTCATGTGGAAGTCTTGTGTTCAAATCCCAGTTGAGTCAGGATTTTATGATATTAATTACTTTTTTTTTTTTATAAATGAACACATTTATAGCAAGCTTTTTTAATACCATTATAGATTAAATAAAGAATTCAAAATATTTGTTAACATTCAAATTAAAGGATGACATATTTACAGCATCAAACATCCTCAACCTTTCATTTCAATTGAACATTTCTAACACAATCTATGAAATGAGTTCTAAGCTAAAATTCTGAATAAAACTAAAAATAGTTCAGAAATAATGCAAGAAAGAAAATGTTGCTTAGCAAGAGAAAGAAAACAAAGCTGAATCAAGAAAGCTTAGCAAAAATTAGGATAACTGATGCATGGTCAAATGAAACTTCTGAAGAAACAACGCAAAGAAATCAAATTTATACTGAAAGACATGCAAATGGGTTCAGCCCCCCCCCCCAATGTCTTCCTCATCTATTGAAAAAAGTATCTCAAGTTGAGTGTTTCTGCAAAGGATTGAGTTGGTGCCAAATGACACCCAGTTGCCATATATTTGAAAAAGTAGGCAATTTCCAATAAACCAACATTTGCTGTATTTGTGAACAAGTCTCAAGGACAAACACATGATTTTGTGGGATTATACCTAAACAGCCTGTTTTTGCTCATGGGCAGCATCATGTAGTTCTAACATGAACTACAAATCAAAATCAATTAAAGGGAAAAAGTGTTAAATAATTCTAAAATCTATATAAGAAAAGTAAACTGAGATATTTCAGAATTGACAAGCATTTGTGTGTGTGTATATTCCACTATAAAGTAGTTTTTTCCATCTTATGACAGGTTTATAAGCTAATCTGTTTAATGTTAAGCAAGTTGAGTTAGTTCAAAAGACCTAGATTTCATGTGAAGTTTATGATAAAAACTCAGGACATCACACAGGGAAAGTAAAAAAAGCAGAAAATGTGCAATTAATAGCAAGCAAAAAGTCACATGTGAAATTTTAAAATTTATTTTAATATTTCCAGTTGAAATTAAGGATCTGTTTGTTTTTTAGCACAAAGTTTCACAATAGGCTATCAACACTTTTTCCACCACAAGGAAACAAACCTCCAGATTTTAGTGTTGTAACTCCATAAACTTACTGCTAACCTACTGAAGGACAGATATTAAAGAATTAAAACTTGTATAATATTAATACATATTATTTTATAAACTGTATTTTCATGCCAAGTTTGTTGACATACATTGATGATTGTCTAACTAAATTTTTAACATAACTCTGTAAAACTATTTTTACCTACCATTATTGGGGTTTACATATTATAACTTTTAATATCATATGCCCAGAATGAAAAATTTGGTAGGTTTTCAGTATACAAGTCTTTCTGTACACAAAGATTTGCTTATGAATAAATGGAGTCAGATTATTGACTGTTCTGAGTGCAAAGTGATTTTTCACATTAAAATTAAAAATAATTTTATTCCTGGGAAAATTTTCAAATTTCACTTGTTGACTTCTAATACCTCCTAAATAAAAGTCAAACATTTTTTCTTTCAGTGAAACTTTATTTTTATGTTATTTTCTCTATCCTTATTCAATATGAAATAAATCTAAATTACCATTTATTCTTTCTAGAAGGACAGCAGATTGTAACTAAATAGTTTGAAGCTTGTAACAGTCTACACAAGTTTCTATTTAATTTTACTGTTTTATTCCTATTTGGACCTTATCTAACTAATAATTCCAACATACATATTACAAATTATCAATTATTTGGCAAATGCATAGCACAAAACTAATCAGATGCTTACCTTGTGAACAATAATAATTATTATAAAGTGGCAACAGGGACTTTAAAGGCATGACCAGATCTTATTTGCCAAATGTGTGGACCACATGTTAATTTCGTTTCATAGTATAATTATAGGTTGTTTTCAAAGTTTTGAAAGAATAAGATATTTTCAATAAAATATTTGGCTCAAATATGTAAAATTTGCTTGAAAGGTCTAGGTAAATATAAATGATGTAAACTTAACATTAGTACAAAACTGTAAATATTCAGAGAACAACGTTTTTAACCAGAACTTGGCTGCTTCTGCAGATTGGTCCCATGAGAGAAAGCATGTTTGATAAACTTTGTAGTATGTAGGGTTAGACTTGTAAGAAGTGACTGCATCTTTGCCAGAATATGCCTACTTAACAAAAAAAAAATATATTAAAAAGTAAGTTCACTTTATTATTATGCACTACAATACCATTTTTAGAGTTGGTCTCCTTAACTTTGTAGGTTGCTGCTACTCCCTCCCCCCTTCAAAATCACAGATATGCCATTGACTACACAAGAAATAAGCTATGCTGATCCAAGGGCCACATGAAACTAGTTTAAGAATAAGACTCACAAACTAAAAAGATTGTACATTTGTGATGTTCAGGAATTCAACAGATTATGTGCATTGTACACCATCTTGCTGTATCCAGTAAAGTTCATTATGTTTTCTGCTATAAATCCAAACATAATGTGAAATCTAAACTGGCTTAATTTATGCTTTCCTTAACCACCTGTTTTAGAAATGAGGTAAAATGCACCATGCTAGAATGACCACTGACTCACTCAGTGTTTTTGCTACTGTAATGTCCTTGTGGGTTTGGCAAATTTTATGAACAAAAGAGCACAAAATATACAAGTCTTTTGTACACACACACACAAAAAAAATCATACCAACAATTTTCAGGCTTTAGTCTTCACACCTGCTGTTTGATGGGAGTGATTTTTTTTGTTCAAGCTGTTGACAATATAAATAGCATTCTCACCACTATTATATCATTTGTCATATCCCAACCAGCCTGAATGAGGTCTGTTATTGGGCAAAAGATGTTGTCAGCACTGGACATCACAGATAATGTGGTTGATATATTATTAAATTCTCCTTTTTTTTGCACACAATTTCTCATCATTTACAATGATATGTAGTTTTTTTGCAGTTGAACCTGTATTTGAACTAATAATATTACATCATTTGGCAATTATTAAAATAACACTGAATGACTTTTTTAATCTTCTAAGTTCTTAATATTATGACTTCTTTCACAGAACTACAAACCAAACAAAAATACCTATGCAATAATTTCTTGAAATTTATTTGAAAATTTGTATGATTGTCTAGCTCTAAGCCTAACATTTTAAGTAAATAAGTAATATCAAAGTAGGCTTAAGTTACTGTACTATTGACATTAGTAATGTGATTGTTAGTAATGATGCTGTGCTTACTGATTTTGAAAGAAGTTTTACAATACAACTTTCTAATGGTAATACCATTGCACTAATGACTTTTGGCATTCTAGCCTATAACCATTTATATCATTATCTGCGATAATAAATGTTACTAGTACTATGAGTAATACTAACACTGTAAAGTGTAAGTGTAACATTATATAGTACACAGATGTATATTCTACTTCTAGTAAGCAGTAGTAGTACTACTCTCGTAACTTGAAGTTTTAGTTGTATTGTGTACTAGTACATGTAGTACAAAAAATTAAAATTTATGGGAGGACTGGAGTAGCGCTAAACTCAAGTAATATTATTATTGCTAATACTAGTAATAGTATTACTATTAGAAATACTATATCATTAATAATACATACCTTCATTGACAGATACGTGCGTTATTACGTTAAATATTACTTTATTCGTGTTCCTGGAGGGCTTAAAAGAATCACTGTTCTGTAACTTACAATTTGTGCCAATGAAAAAGTAAACAGAAAAATTTTTGGACTTAATAACCAAGTAACCACAAACTGACATGAAAAAACTTACAACTGATAGGCTTAACACTGGTTTGTATGTATGTCCCGTCATTTGTAATGTGAGATTAGTTGTTTACTCTATTGGTTAATAACTTCTAAGTAACTTTTTTTGCACGACATATTAACATGTGAAAGTGATGATTTCGATTTTATTAGGAAAAAGTTTAATCTATATAATTATATCTATTTAAGAGCTGGACAGTATGTTTTATTTAAAAGTAATTTAATAAATATTGTGTTTACTAAGTGCGAAGCTATCAACTGCAAAATGGCTACCTTGTTAAGGATTTCTCGGATTTTCCAGCAATTGCAAGTTCCAACTCAATGGAATATTCTACCTTTTTCTTGTTATTTTCATAGTCAAGGTATGGTACGGTGTAAAAAGTACCCAACTTTCTCTATTTTGTGTTTTTTAATAACTTATTTTGACAAAAAAGTATATGAAAATTATTTATAAATTGAATACGCACACGCGTTACTTTCGGTTGATACTTATTATTATTATATGTTATACTAATAGTGATGATAGTTACTGTAGTGTTACTTAGTTATTGTGTACTGTATATAATATAGTGCTACTCCAAGCTTTAACGTTCAGGTTTTTATTTGTATTTATAATTTAGTGTTTACTGTAACAATTTGTTGAAGGTGGAATGGATGTTTTCCGAAAAATCCATTAAATATGATGTTATTCATTTATTAAAATTATTGGTCACTTCTGTAGTTTTATTGTTCATCATTAACGTTAGAATTACTGCTAGTAATAGTATTAGAACTAGTAGTGATATTGAAAATTAAGGAGATGTCTGCTTATTGTCCATAGATTTATCATTTATCCAAAAATATAAGATAAAAAGTTTTTTATAAATAAATATATTTGAAAGTTTTAGCAAAAAATATTTGAAAGTGTTTTTTAAATAGATATACTTTTTATTACTTTATTTCAAGAAACTGAATATATTTTACCCGTATCAATTTAATTTACTCTCATAGGAACTTAGGAAGTGTGTTTAGAATTACTGTTGTCTAACCTGCAGTGCCAGAGTATAAAGCAAAGAAGCTTCTACCTTTTTAATGGTGGCTTTGGCTACTGTTTTTATGTACGTTCCCAATGTGGTTGTTTACTCCAACTTTGCTGTGTAGCAGTGTGAAGGGTTTGGGGATTGTTTTTCAATAAAAACTTGGTGGTACAAAGGAACAAAACTGTAAGATTTATGAAAAGTTTTTGCCTTATGTTTTTAGTAAGGGATACCAGAGAATTATAGTTTCTGGCCACTGAAACATGTGAATGCAAAATTGCAGTTGTTATTATATGAATTTCACATAAATAGAACACTAATTATTGTATAACAAATAAAAATGTCTACAGTACTAATACATACTGAATTTGTATGATTTATTTCATAGCAACTGTACTTTCACTAGTTGTAAATCTGCTTTAAAAACATCAAGATGATTGCTAAACCTGTCATCCGCCATTTGTCAGCGATCAACGAGTGGATGTTAAAACTGAAACCAGCATATTGGTTCAAATTGGTTGGACCAATAAGGATCAGTGATACATCAAGTGATAGCTTTCTTCATGCTCCACTTTGGTCTGGCCAGTTTGATTGGATCCAGAAGCATTTACTATTTAAAAACACATAAACGAAACTTTAAAAACATTTAAAATTATGTTTATTCATTGAATTTGTAGAACACGGCCATACAATAACTTTGTGGTGTAGATTACATAATGCATAAACTGATACATAGATATGTCTGCTAAGTTCAAATCGATGGCATGTTAAAAAAACTGATGAGTGAGGATTGTAAACAGCCTATTTTTTGTCCTGGCAACTGCTTGCTTTATGTCATATCATTGGGCATAAACAGACTGTGCTGTCCTGACAACAATTTACTATACCTCATATTGTTGTGTGGCTACAGCAGAAGAATGTGTGCTACAATATTCTATGATAAATGTGGTTTGAATGTTGTATCAATTACATCATAACATGATGAAGAACAGATAGAGGCTACTACTGTTACGTACCTGTCAACTGCAGTATTTAAAATTTACAACCAGTGTGAATACAAAATCTTTCCTATTCTTTCAGAGGTATGTAGGTAAGCTCATACTTTATTATTAGCATTTGGTTATTGACAATTTCCATTTCATTTATCCACATAATATGAATACATATGTATGAGTTTGAAATTGATGGACTTTATTGGGGCTACATTTTATCTTGCCTTGGCATGGGTGTCAATCAGTATCAGGTTACCAGGTAAGGCGATAAATCACTCACATTTTGTTCATATTGTTCAAATGGGAAGGTAACATAGAACAGAAGGTTGATTTACACGTATGATTTTTAATTGTTTTTCATTAATTATTAACTACATAATTGAACTTGCAATGTAAGTCTACTAATTTGTGAGTGTGGAAACCAATGGTTTGTGAATTTTTTTTATTTTCCTAATTTAGAAATTATCAAAACCCCCTATTTCTAGGTAAATCAATGGGTCCATGTGCTAACATGTATCATTTCAATATGTAATTATGTTAATAAGTTGTACTTATCATAAAGCTAAATGTTTCATAAATTACAATTTTGTCAGCAGATGTTCCGTAAATTGAGTGTAATAAATAATTTATTAACTGTTATGCCACTATCAGCACCACTACTAGCATTACAGCTGGGTAACAAGGGATCATTTCTCCTTCAAGTGTGTCCTTGAAGAAGTAAAAACTTAAATCAATATTTATTTTTCAGGAAATCATTAATTGCACTTACATTTGTAAGTACTCTATAACTGCAAATGGAAACAATCATACTCAGTAGTAGTTCCATGATAGGCTATGGATCCCCCTTGTTGTCTCACAGGTATTTTGTGTTATAGTATAACATAATAATAATATTGTAATTTACAAAAAAAAATATTAAGTTTAGAGTTTCTACCAGTTTGGGTTTCACCCAAGTAGTTCTGTTATTGAACTCGGTGTCCAAGTGGCATTTAATAGACCTCAATGTCTGTTTTAAGTAATATATATATAAGAAATAATGTAACATAATATTTAGGGACAGAAGGAACCTATTGGTCAATCTAGGCTGTCCCATTCACTAAATTAAACTAAAGTTATTAAAAACAATCCCTCAAAGCCAGCCCTTATCATTCATATATTTATCAAGCTTTCCCTCAAACTCATTTAAATTTACTGCCCCTACCACTTCTGAAGGCAACCCATTCCAAAGACCAACTACCCTTTAGAAAGATAAAAATAAAATAGGTATGAGTTTTAACTCCAAATGAAAATAGATTTTGTTTTGCCAAATATGCCTGTATCCAAATTTCATACATTTTATACTTACCACCCCATAATTGATGTAGAAAAACCAAAGTTTAGTAATTGTATTTGGATCTTACTTAGAGCTGTGCAGTTAGTAGTATTTACTAATTGATTAATCAATAGGGCTCATTAATCAATTAGTACAG